GCCGCCCCCGGGGTCCACTCTACCCTAAGCAAGTTCCACCCCCAGCACGAGGAGCGCAAGACCCGGGGACTTATGGGTTAGTTACATAACATCATCACAACTTATATGGTTTCTAATTTCTGTAACTAACTTATAAGCTGGTCCAAGGAGGCGAGCGCAGTTTGTAACAAGTTACTTTCCACATAGACGCTGCGCGCTGCTCTTTGCGCAGTACCCTGAGTTTGCAGATCAACTAGATTTAGTTTGCCAAAAGTTTACTTCATTTCAACAAGTAAGTAAAGTAAAAACATTAAGTAAAAAAGCAAAGTAATTTTTACCATAGTAAATTTTAGTAAGACAAGTAATTTAAATTAGTAAGACAAATAATCCTTTTAAGTAATTGAAACATGTGTTGTCATATGTTGTTGTTTTTGTTGTTTTGTTGTTTTTGTTGTTTTGTTGTTGTGGTTGTTGGCTGTGTTTAAGTTTTTGCAAGAATGATTTCTCCAAATTTGTTCACTTGACTCATGTCACATGTCGCATGTTCTTGAAAACCGCCTTGTCTGTGTTCATGATCAACCTCCCCCTGTCTATCAAACAGGCTGTTGACAATCAGGGTTTGCTTGTCTCTCTTGCCATGTTTGAACTTCTTTGTACTCCCCCACTCCCTTGCAATCCACTCTGGGATCTCACCGGCAGCAAACATCTGCGTGAACTTCTGTTGCTTGACTCCGTCTCTGGTCTCTGCACTCTTGTTCTTCTCTGGGTCTACTTCTGGGTCCTCCTCCTTCTCATTCTCTTCTTATGCTTCCTCCTCTTTGTCCTTCTCCTCAGGCACAGGCACAACGCCCACCTTCCAGCTAGTCTTGGGAGCAGCTATTGCCTTTGTTGATGATTTCTTCAGGACTGAACCAGGAGTGGCAGAAGGCTTCTCACTATCTTTATCTGACTTTGCTGGTGTTTGGGCTACCATAGATTCATTTGGCATTCCATCAGCCATGAGTGCAGTGGATCACTCACAATACATTACAAGCTCTCAAAACAAAAAGCCGCAGAAAGTTGTAGGAAGATTGAAGATGGCACTCAATGTACTGTTCCCAAGAACTGCCCACCAGTTAATGACAGAAGTTACTGAGAAACAAGCCACAAGAAATTACACATCTCCAAAACAAGAACTTCTGACAAGTAAATGACACTCAAGACCTGTTCACAAGCAAATGCGCATCTTCACAACAAGAACTGCTCACAAGTAAATGAATTTCTTCATAGGAATTCTATTATTGGAGAACTGCTCTCAAGTAAATGTTGAACAGTTATGTAATAATTAGCTCAAGAGTACTGTTACATGCCACTGCATTCGTAGGGAAACTGTGCAAAAAGAACTTCAAAAACTATATACAGTTTGTGTGCAGTTTTTATGTAGTTTATCTGCAGTTTACATGCAGTTTTGAAAACTACATGTCGTTTTGATAAAACTACATGTAGTTTGATAAAACTACATGTAGTTTTCAAAACTGCATATAAACTACATACAAACTGCATAAAAAGTACATAGAAAATGAGCAGAACATCAACAAACACACATCAAAAGTATACACACATATTCAAATTTGTTATCTCCATGTTATATTCTGGACATGCTGATGCTGCACTTGTGAGTTCATTAGACTCTGGATACATTTACTTGTGAAGCTGTTTTTACTTGTGAACCACCTTCTGTATTTCCTTGCAGTCAAATTGCACAATGGCTTTGGGCGCTGGACTGTGTACGAGGTTTTTGGCGTTCGTATATGTTTTCGGAAAGCTATGCTCACTTTACTTGAGACATCATTTATTGTTTTGTGGATGCCACTTGCTCAAGGCAGTGTTGTGAGGTTTGTGGGTTGCACTTTTCATAAGCCCACTATTTTCACTGTTGTGTACACTCTTGTGTCAATATTGCCATGTACTTGTGGGCCATTTGCTTTGTGAAAAGAACTACTTGTGGCCAGGTCTTGTGCCAATATTGCAATTTACTTTGGAACAGTTCTTCTGTCCAGATTGTAGTTTACCTGTGAGCGTTGATGGTCATCTACTTGTGAACAGCTCAACTGCCAAGACTGCCACTTAGACTTACTCGTGACCAGGTGTTTTCGCAAGATTGTCATTTACTTGTGAACAGCTCAAATGCAAAGACTGCAATTTACTTGTGAACAGTTCTTGTCAAGATGACCATTTACATGTATCATTTTCTCGCCTCAAGATAGCAACCTCGATAACCCCACAAGACCTCTCTCAAGAAAAAGAGCTGTACCTGATCTCCAGTAAAATTTTCGCAACGCTTCTCAAGTAACTTGGTGAAAGTACACCAATAAAAATATTCGAGTTTTCTCAAGTAAACACAGCAACACCAAGTGCTCCCACACCTTTCCTCAAGTAGATCAAACAACACTTCTCAAGTATATCACCCCTGGCTTCTCTCAAGGCAGACGAGTAAATTGGTTGTGACAAGCTCTTCTCTCAAGTAAACTGACTTCTCAATTTTTTGAAATATATACTGCAACACTTCTCAAGTAATTTGAGGCGACGGTGACGGAAACCATTCTTGTCTGTTACCTGTGAAAACCAACTTCATGTGTAACTTCCAAGCCAATGTTTTGTTTGTTTCTGTGTTGTTTTTGTGTTGACTGTTGTGGTTGTTTCTATGTTGTTTCTACGCTGCTTCTATGTTGTTTATATGTTGTTTCTATGCTGTTTCTATGTTGTTTATATGTTGTTTCTATGCTGTTTCTATGTTGTTTACATGTTGTTTCGACTTTGTTGAAATTTACTATGAAAAATTAGTTTTTCAAAAAATCACTAGGAAAATCCAAACACTAAATTTAGTTGATCTGCAGACTCAGGGTCGCATTGCAAGCCGAGTAAAAACCGCATCGGTCAAGAGCTGAACTGTATTCACCTGCTCCTTTTTTGTCATACGTGGAACGTCTCGGCCAGGACTCTCGGCCACGACCAACGCGCGCAAAAGCCAAGAGCCATGTGTTAGCACAGCGCAAAATGATTCAGACGCCCCTGACCAACGGTTTTTTGAAGGATGCCGGATGTGTTTTCTGTCAAAACCACGCTAAGAAATTGTTAAGCAATAAAGAAACACATATTCCCGCAAGGGTTCAACTTGGATGTGTATTTCAATAAGGAGGCCCCTAACCAATGGTTTTTCTGCCAATGGTTTTTTCACGCAGGCGACGCCGAAGTTCACCACACGTTGGAAACCGGGAAGCACCAAATATCGAATGCGAACTAGCACTGAAACAGGCAGTCTACCCTGGACCAAAAAGACTCTATGAATATGAGGCCATCATTTTGTTGGCGACGACGAAAAAGCTCAACTTCATGGACTTCATCCAGGGCATCGTAGATCGTAGACAGCAAGAAGAAAATCAAGGACCAGAAGAAGAAGAAGAAGAGCCACGCGATCGCAGGCGAGCAAAGACCCCCGCCTACTGGCGACAGACGCGAACGAAGGGCTAAAAGAAACGAAGAACAAGGTGCCAAAGCGAAGCAAAATCGGCACAAAAAAGGGCCCATGTGAAATAACGAATTTACCAGGTACTGGACGGTAGCTCCAGAACACACCACAAGGGCGAAAAGCACGCGCTCACTAAAAGGGGCGGGCGAAAGTTGAACAAGAAGGCTTGCTCTTAGATTGCTCTGACCCAGCACTTGGACCTCAGGCGGCCAGAGCTCGACGGTCTAGATTTTCAAAAGCTGCAAATGCGAAAAGAGCCCAGCAGACCCCTCAAGGTTTTCCTGCCGTGCCCAGGCGGTTATATTGGGCATCCCGTCGGTGGATAAGGGAAGAAACAGGCGGCCCGAATGTGAATGGAGGAGGCGGATGGGGTGGTCAGTGAGTGAGGCGTAGTGGGAACAGGCACAGCAAGCGCTTCCACGACATTTGGCAGGATCCAAGACGCAGATCAGAACAGGAGGTCGATGGAATCGCAGGCGGTCGATGCCAGAACACATCAGAGGGAAAGAAAGAGGACCTCTAACCTTATGCAAAAATGTTTTTCAGCCGGAAGGGAATCATACGCGCAAGACTTTACGTTTTCGAAAACCGAAGCGGGTAAGCATAGCAAGTTATCACCGGAAACCGACTTTGAGCGATCAAGTAACAGGGTGGAAAAACCAGCTACTGCGGTTGGAACAGTTGATTGCCAAATTGCCATTGGGCGTGTTGTCCAGCAGCGGCAGCTATTGCCACGGCGCGGCGGAATTAAAGGAGGTCTGGAACAGACTGAGCCGCTCCGCTAACAGGTAGCCTTCCTTGTTTCTGGCTTGACTCAAACTTGCACTCTGTGGTCATAAACAGCTGTGCAGCCTACAAAGTGACCTCCGCAAAAGGCCCCCACGCACATGGTGTAAATATGCTACAAAAGACATCCGTACGGATTGGAAACAGTACTCTTTCTTCAGGCTTTTCATTTGGCACGCATTAGAAAACGCAATGGACTATTCTTTGTTTATTGCTTTAAAAAGTGGCTTTTTCGTGGCGCGGCCAATGTCCACGTGTTTCATGCCTCTGCTCTCCTCTCCAGTCAAGGTCAAGCTCTGCGTTGATTTTTTCACAAATGCCTTCATCGAGCAAATCAGCGGCGGCACAACGCATTTCTGAATCGTGCAGTTCCGGAACCACATTCTGGTTGTTGAATCGTGCAGTTTGGTTGCTGCATCGGTCATTTTGGTTGCTGAATCGCGTAGTGGCTGAAGTGTGGTTGCTGAATCGTACTGTTTGGTGTGGTTGCTGAATCGTACTGCTTGGTTGCTGAAGCGTGGTGTTGCTGAATCGTAGTTGCTGATTTGGTTCGTTGCTGAACGGTTGGTTGCTGCTGAGTCTGTCAATGTCCCAGACGCGCGAAGCAACGACGCACACCCCCACCCCCGCGTACCAAACATGACACCATGTGACATGACCGCCGAAAAACATGGGTCCGGTTTTCGCAAAAACATGCATCACAGATTCCTTTTGTACTCCAAGGTGCAGTATTTGGTGTTGAAATCCTGCGAGAAGAGATAGTCCGTTTGAAGAGCCTGGTGACAGTCGTGGAACCACGGCCCCAAAGTGCGTCGAGCCTCCAGGCTTTTTAAAACAAAATCTTCGAAAAAGGAGGAATTGCAAAGGAAAGAATTTCTGACATCCTCACGATTGTCCAATTTCTCCAAGTCGATGGGGGGCGGCGCCAAGAAATCCTCACTGCCGCCCACGTGCCACCAGGGAAACTCCCAACGCCCATAGTGCCAGCCATACTCGCTCAAGAGCCGATCGAAAGGGTTGCGAATCACACAAAAGGTGTCACAACTGGCATAGCTCTCTGAGACCTTCGAATCGAAACCTGGCGGTGTGTGCCACAGGCTGCAGCTGAATGTCTTCTCTCGCCGAGTGTCTGGGAAGAAACAACAAGTTCGGTTCACTTCACACTGGCCAGGCTCAAGGCAAGGACCAGCGAGGCATTGACTCCGGTTATTGCAATCTAAAGTCTTATCCCACAGACTCCAATGGAATCCATAACTGCGCCCCAATTGGCTGATCGCACTTCCGGCCGTCTTCGGGATATGCATAAACTTCAAGCACGGCGATCCTGATCCCGATCCACGTATGTCTTTCTCAACTCGGTCCTTTCGGTTGTCTTTCTCAGCTTTCAATTCGGTTTGCTCCTTTCTTTCCTTTTCACGATCTGAAGTTACTTCGCCCTCGGCCACGTTGGTGCCGTTGTTGGTGCCGTTGTTGGTGCCCTCTGTGCCAAAACTTTGCGACAACGACACGCTGGTGTCCTGTCCCGCCACTCGCTGTGAAGTGGGGGAATTGAAATCTTCAACCGACAAGTTGGCTTCCTCTCCAATTGATGCGCGTTTCTCTCCGCTCGAAAATGTATCGGAGTTCTGCCGCTGATCCTTCGACGTGTCAAGTTCCACAGCTGATCCTTGTGACTGACCCTGAACGGACCCAGTTCCGTCGGGAGTGGCGCTAGAGATGAAGGAGCTCGATGTCATGGTCATGCCCACTTCGGAGAGCATGGAGGCCAAAAGAAAAAGAGAAAGCACAACCAAACAGACTCGTCCAAACAGCTTGTGTGCAAATCTGTTCCAAAATCCCCTCATAGGAAGAGAGTGTGCTCTCTCTCAGAGTTCTGTTCCATCCAATGTGATGAACCCGTCCAGGGAAGGCCTCAGGGAGGAACCAGGATGCGTTGACGGGGGGAAGCTGGCCTTGCGCTGTTCATTTGCAACACTTTGACGGGGGAAGCTTGTGACAAACCAATCCGTTGCAACCAGTTGTCTATGCGCTACATCATGCCAACTGGGTTGGGCAAGGGGCAAGAGCAGCCCATACGGATGGTCTCAACATCTCAAAAAGATCAAAAAGGCAAACATTCAAAGGCCTCCGACTGTATCTTGCAGAGGCGGCAAAAAAGCCAATGAACTAAGGGCACAAAGGGTCAAAGGGTTCTAGATTCTGGTTTGTAACCAGACTCGTGGAGGATTCGAGGATTTCACATTCTTTGATAGCCTGTAAGGGTGCATCGCTTGAAGCAGTTGCAGATTTGCAAGCTCTCATGCAAGGCATGCAAGCAGCTCAGGTAGGTAGTTTTCACAACACCCTTTTGGCGTTGTGGCTTGCAGTACGAAGGCAGGCAGGGCTGCGTGATCACAATTGAGATCTCACGCGCGCATTGTCGAAGCAAAACAAGCAAGAGCAAATGCATGTTGCAAATGGCCTGTTGCTTGGGCCTCCCTTGAAAGCAACGGTATGCCTCCCGTTGTACGTGAGTGATATGTGGTGTACACGAAGCACTGGTGAACAGCGAATGCGCACGATGCTGTCTCAGTGGTGTCGTTGGTGCACGCGGTGGGTGGAAAGATAGCAAACGTCCCCAAAACGCATGAAAACAAGAAGCCGAGTAGCTGACAAGTGTCCTGGGGAAATCCTTTCGAAATAGGCTTAGCAAGTCAGCTCATGGCCGGCAAAAGCAAAGGCATGGTCCTACAGTGCCTTTCGGATATGTCAACGCAGTTTCTCTGTCTGGAACGAAACAAGTGGCAATATCTTTGTTCATCTGTTGGAGAGACCCATTACTTCTTGTCACGACTTGTGCCCATTACTTCTTTATTGCTCTGTCTGAGGACGAGGCGCCCACACATCACAACAGAGGTGTTGCCACATGTGAGACAAGATTCAGAAGCTTTGTCAAAGATTCAGAAGCTTTGTCGATTATTAGAATCGCACCAATTCTTTTTCTCCAAGCTCTGAGGGATCAAGCTCGGCCAAACCTGAGATGAGCTTTGATGTTTTTCTCGCACCAATTCTCTACTTATTGAAGAAAATGATGCCGGCAGTATAGCCCGGATTGATGTGAGCACTGCCTCGATCCGCAAGCACTGTGACATTGCAACCTCGCGATCTGAAGGTTTCTTCGAGAAAGTCCTTCGGAGTATGATACATTTGGATTCCTCCTCTGCGCATGGAGAGGTGCACGTCACAAGGTGTCAAGGCCACACCTTCCGGAATCATGGTGGGAATGTGAACCCATCCTTGCCCTCCAGGTTTCAATATGTCACACAGTTGTTCCAAGTAGACAACTTGCAGCGGCGAAATCATATGTTGTAAGTTGTAATACAATCATTGAATACACAAAGTCAAATCTTTTTCCAGCCACTGCAGCAAGCAAATCAGGTCCAAACACTTTCAAATTGAGTTCCCCCTTGGGAGTTTCGGGGTCTTTCGCGTTTTCTCTTTGAATCTGCCACTCTTTCTTTGCGATTTCCAAATGAAACACACTTTGGTCCACGCAGGTCACGTCTGCAAATTTCAAAGGCCGTTCCCAAACGGCCAACCCCACAGCCAAAGTCCAGAAATTGAAGCATTCTCCAAGGGCTTGCTCCCGTTGGCTCGTACATCTTGAAGAATCATCTCACGATGATTCTTCCCACTTGCATAGAAGCGCTGTTTTTGCTCCTCCGGAAGGTCCACTTTTCCTTTGAATTCGTCAACTGAAATGACACTCCACCAAGGATCCTCCTTCCCCAAAATTGCCCACTCAACTGAATGAGCGGCAAACACATCTTAAAGCTCTGGAATTATGTAGCTCCGGTTGCACAATCCAACGAAATATCCTCGAGAACCGCCCATGCTATCCACTACGCCTGAAAGCTCGGATGCGTGGGAAGTGGAGTTCTTTCTCTCCGGGATGGTCTCCGACGGCAACCGCATGGAAAATACATTGACAGACCTTGGCTTTGCAAGCCTGTCATTCTCAATGCAAAACAAAGAGACCCAAGGGCTCAGCCGAAAGACTGTTCCGAGAACTGCCACTACAAGCACCACCACAATCAAAACCCTGTATGGCGCGCCCATTGTGTCCGTTGTCGCAGGACGCTGCGAATGATGCGAATGCCTTTGATCAACGTATTGTGAAAACACTGTTTGAGCATGGGTTTCAAACCCATCTGCTGTCTTGTGCAGAATTTTGTCTTTTGTGCAAGAAAAACACACATGCATTGTCTCACATTGTAGTGAACGTCTTGAACCACATATCATATGGAATGTCTGACAAACGCAAATTTCTCAAACGGGTCGAGTCGGTCGACTTTTGAAATGAGTGAAGCAAGATTGGAAAGGTTCAAGTTGGGCGCAGGCGACAGCTGAGTGGCTTGATGTCCAGTGACACCGTCGCCGAGCATATAGAGAAATAAGAAGAGGATAACAGCGAAAGCGACGCGACAGCAGTGACGGCTGAAGGAAAAAAAGGAATGTGTTGACCAAGTCAGCCAAGGGTGATCAAAGACTTGGAAAACGTAAAAGGATGTAAAAGCTGAGGAGTGAACGGAAGACCGAAGGCCATACGTTCACGACGAGATCGAAAAGCGTATGATCGAAAAGCGTATGAAAGTTTAGTTTGGCGAGATAAAATTTGGGGAGATCGGTAGATGAGGTAGATGGAAGATCACAGGCACGGTGTTTTTTGAGTGAGTGAAGTGCGTGGGCGTGTGGGCGCGTGCGGCGCGGCACGGTGCCGTGCGGCGCCGTGCGTGCGTTGGCGTGGGCGTGCGTGTAGGGAGGGGAAGGGAAGGGAACAGTTGATTTCTCACACAGAACGGTCTTCTTTCCTACTTTTGGTTTGCTTAAGTGGCGCACTTTGAAAATCTGTCAAACATAGTGGCGAACCTTTTCACCACTCGGCTTGAGTCATGAAAGCCGCTGCGGTATTGGGCTCTGAACATGTGCAAACAGGTCAAGAGTGTCTGTAGTCAAGTCTGACACCCTGCCTTTTCGAGAAGCGTTCTAGCTTCTTGAAACCTCTGTAGGTCTTACTGCGAGTTCAGCTCTCAAACAGGCCTACAAATTCAACTGGCTCCATTGCGCTCAGTTCTTCTTCTCCTGCCTGTTGATTCCGTTTGATCCTCATCTCTAGGATCTTCTTGTTCCCCTTCTCCATCACTCAAATGGATCACTGCCTGCTGTTCTCTGTCAGCTTGTCTTGAATCATTGCCTCTTGTGCTGTCAATCTCAATGACGTTGATGTCGTCCACGTCCACATACTCTATGGTCACGTCGTTGTCGACTGCATCTGCTTCAGGTGGTAGATATTGAAGTAGTGCGTTGTTGTCATCTTGGTTGCCAAGCTCTCTTCTTTCTCCTGGGGTGTGTTGTCTGATGAATTCCTGTCTTGCTGCTTCAGCTTCTTCTTCATCTGGATGTTCTGCTGCTGCTGCATCAGCTCCACGTTGGATTGCTTCTCGTTCAAGTCTCTGCAATCTCTTGGCGAACAGAATGCTTCGCCTGTAGCCTTCTGGTGTCTGGCAATCTTCGATTGCTGCTGTCATCTCATTTCTCAAAGTAAAGAGTCGCCCCATCATGTCACCATTATGGAGATTCCAGGGTGCACTTTGTTCACTCCAATTGGGGTGAACGTGCGCGAACAGCGTCATTAATTCAGACACAGAATAGACGGGCGACATACGTAGAGCGCCATTGATGCTTTGGCATCATTTGTCGCTTTTCTCATTGGTGGCGCGCGTGATGTGGCATGAAAGGCCAAAGTTGAAAATTTCAGACCATTTGAAGGTGTGCGCTAACGCAAAACCTTCACATCTGGAATATTTGGTTGGAACATCCAGCTACTGTGGGAGCAAGGATGCATTCATTCCTTGTATAACCGTTTTCCTACCCACCCGCCCTGGCAGTTGGCCATTTGTTCAGGATCAATGCGCTCTCATATGTGTGCTCTCACCCGCACTCTCATGTATGTGCTTGAAGATTTGTGCGGTTGTCGTGAAAAAAAATATGGTTCGACCAACCTGCAGCTTTGTGGACGCATGTAGGCCAAAATGTGAACGTACTTTTCAATAGGGTGTATTTTGTTTGTGCAGCGCAATTTGTTGCCAATGATACCGAAACTAACTCAAACCCACCCAGAGACACGCTGTGAACCGCAAAACGCCAAACTAAACGAAACACGGTGGAGACTATGGACTTATGTGCTTTTTCACAGGCATGCTGTTTGTATGTTCTTTCATTCACTCTGCAGAATGTGTTAGAATCCTGTATGTGTACTCTTGTGTCTTTGATTTTTCCTGCAAACCAGAAGGAAGGGCATTGAAGTCACACAGCACATTCATCCCCTTCAACGGTCCTTGCATTCCTCCTCACAACATGAACTTGAATTTTTGCACAAAGGGGGATGGAAGTTGTCAAATGTTTGACTTTGCAAGCACGGCGCAACACATGTGCTTTCAGACTTTCAATCAACAGATCAGCATAGGCCACACTCTAACCTAGCCACCATTCACTATGGCTGCGTGCACATGGGCTTTCATAACCTGCAGGGAGGATTGGACATCAGAGCGCAGAGAGAAGTTCCACCATGTGATGGAAGGACACATGCTTCCAGAAAGACTGCAGCGACTGCATTCTACATTTCAGGCAAAGCATCAAGCTTTGGCAAGTGTGTTTGAGGAATCTTGCAGACAAGACCATTTGACAATTCGAGGGGTTGTGCTGGTTAGTGCAAGCGAACCTTTTCGAGATCATTTGTCTCCAGGTTGGTCACATGATGCACTTGCAGTCCATGCTCGGATGTTCGAGTCAGCTGCTGATGCCTACCTGTTGAAAGTGCACGATGCGTTTTGCATCCCACCTTGGGAAAATCAATTGAAGATTTTGGAAGTCTCCATCCCCCGTATTAGCAGGCGTATGAAGGGAAAGAATTTTGCGCACGTCCCAATCTCCACGGTTGATAAGTCCCACAAAAAGGCCACTGTCTTTCAAGTTCATTCATGGCGAGTCGAGGGTGAAGATTTAGATTCTGCTGGCGCCGATGCCGATGCTTGGAAACTGAATGTTTACCAACCATCAAACGAAGAGAAAGGGTTTAAACCTTTGGGTGAGGTAGTTGGGCATGCAGAGCCTGCATCTTTAAAAGACTTGTTGGTATTGCATGTTCCTGGCCAATTGGCCTTTTTGATGCTTTGCGGTGGATGGGGAGAACTTCCTGTCTTGGCAAGATGGACACGCCCGTTTTTTCCAGCAGTGACGGCTGGAGTTGATGTGGATTGGTTGGCCCACCAGGTCAAAACTGTGAATGTCAGAGCCGATCAGTCTTCAGAGATCCGTTCTGCTGTGATGTCAGCAACAGAAACTGAACGAGTTGTATCCTTGTTGCGTGATTTAGGATTGAACGCCTTGTTGCACCTTCAAGATGACAATCTTGCTTCCACCATGACATCAGAGCTCAACCAAGCATTGAGTTTGTTGTGGGGGCAGTTGAATGCATTAGACCCCAAAAGAACTGTAGCTCTTCAGAGATTGCGTGGCCTGAAGTACCCTGCAGAAGTCTTGGTCCCACAAGTTCTCGCAAGCTACGACTTGCGTTGCAAGAAGATGCTTCGACACCATGCCAACAAATTTGTGGAGATGCTGCCTGAAGCTTTAAGGCCAGTCTTGCGCGAATGGACTTCAAACCAATTAGCTTCTGGGACTACCTTGCAGAGATCTGAGATGGTTTTGGATGTGGCTTTGCAATTGCTTCACCGCTCCCGCATGTTG